GTCACTGAATTACATCTGACAGGTATCAGCATCTCTGGTTTTAATCCCATCCCTCTCCAGGCATGCTTGTATGATACACATTTACAGATTTTTTTTTATTATTTCATGTAGATATGACTGACCTAAAATTATGAGGGCTTTTCCTGGGCAGAGATAAATCAATGTGGCTCTACTGACTATACTGGAGCTTTGCCAGGGTGGAGAGTCTAAGGATGTGAGCATATAAAAACAGGATCATTGCCCTAGAAGTAGCTTTTCACTGGTCTCTGTTAGGTCTGATCAAAAAATTTCTTAGTAACTCTGAATTATTGCAATTTTGAAGAGCTGGAATTCTGAYATCAGAAATTATCACGTGCAGATCATGTGACAGAGCTCAGGATCATCAAAATTAGATTTTTGTCACTTGATCACACTGAGCATAAAGGTGCAAAAATAGGCATGTTTGAGATGTAAATTTTGATTCCACAAGTTTTTCCTGCATGACACGAGAGCTGGGTGGGTTTAAATTCACAAAATGTTCTAAATTTCCTAGGTCACTTAGAGTGACACAGAGCAGGTGTGTTATCCCAGTATGTCCCAACTTTCCCAGCAAAATATCAGTCAGAAATCCAACTTTCCAATTCTCAGTCCTCATGAGGGTGACTGRATTTCAAGGGTACACTCAGAAATATGCAAAGAAAGGCAGGATTTGAAAACTTTGGCTTAGCCCTAAATTTTTGCGGAGTCCCAGTGATCTACTCCTGTTTCAATCAGTAGTTTCAATTCTGATGCTCTGGATTATATCCTGAACTTGAGCACATCTCCATGGAAGATCCCGAGGAATAAATAAAGGTAATCAATTATGTTCCTTGGCTCTACACAATTTCTGTGAAATATCACTTGCATACTCTTCACAGCTGATATAGAGCACCCACTCAAATGAATATCTGAGGTAGAAATTAATAGCTAGCTCTGATCTCTTTTAAAGGTCACAAGCCTGCTAAAATGTTTTCAATGCATTTTCAAGTATGAGCCTACCCAAAAGCTGTGGATCCTTTTCCTTCTGCTGGGTTTACAGCACAAGGTGCTTTCTCTCCTTGTGGATCTTCACCTTCAGGCCTTCTYAGACCCTTCCTAGGCTTTGTTTTGGTGATGCCTGCAGAACAAGAGTCTTCCCCCAGCCCATCTGCCCCCTGCTACCTCCCACCCCATCGACCTCGGCAGATGGAGAGCTGGGGTCCAGGAAGCACAGGGGCCATAGCAGGGAAAGAAAGGAGCTGCTGGACTTGTAACTAAACACARTCCATTTGCAACTCCAATTAGAAAYGTTATGGTTAATCCTCACYTGGGAGAGAGGCAGACAGGCTGGCAGAAGCAAGGAAGAAATCTYGTAGATAAGAACCAACAGTATCTAACCTCAGCCGAAGCTCTTCCCTTTGTGCTTAGCTGAAATTACTCCACTGGGCCCTCTGTGCAGCTCTCMCAAACTAATCCAGCATTCATCTCATGACCTACGTTTCCCAAAGAAACTGTTCCAGTAAKCAGGAAGAGGCCACAGGTACATCCCCTGAATTTCCTTTCAGACACTCTCAGAAACACCCACGAAGGGCTAAGACACCCCTACACCCCAAAACATTTCCTTATGGACCAGTGCCATGCATTTTATGGCCCATTAAGACCAGGTAGCTACCTGGGGAGATGACTGAAGAGTAAAGAATGGAGTTAATTGGGCCAGGTACACAGGAGGCAAAAGAAAGTYGGCAGGCAGTCCGTGCGCCACTCTGGCTGATTATCCTGGTAGTAAACCTTGCACTCTGAGACCACATTTGCTTTCTAGGCCCAGGAAAAATATGTGCTTCCTCCTGTGTTCATTAAGTTGGTATGAGGACTGGTACGCAATTCCTGCGGAAAAAAAAGTAACTTTCCATGGCTGTGCCATCCTGTATGTGTCTTTCCAGCAACTTGCTTCAAGCCCATTTTATTTCCTCTTTGATCACCAGAACTTTCTGCCAGAAGTGACACATTAAGTATTTGGCACTCAAGAAAATAAATAAAAAAGGTCAGTGGGTGAAAAACATGTCCACACACAGAATGACAGTCCTAAAGAAACCAGAAGCAATGTCAGTGCCCTTTGGAAAATAATCACACAGGCCAAAGGATGACTGCCAAAAAATACTAATTTCTTTTATTAGACAGTGCRTGTCTTAACCCCATTTTCCTTAATGCTTTAATACACATTTTACCTCATATGACACTGATGAAAATTTAAAGCCACCTCAAAGAGTATAAGGGTGTATAGAAGGAGCAAAGAAACACTTGTATTTCCTCTTTACCAAAGGGAAGGAAACAAAAGTTTGTTTGTTAAGGATAGTAAATTGCTAAAAATGCGTAATTCTTTTACAGTCTTCCAAGCATCCTCCCTTCATACAGCCTCCCTACCAAAGCCCTAAMATATTTCATTTTTGTCTCTTTCTACAGTACAATTTCAACATACAACACAGTGTRCATGGATCTTGGTGAGATTTTCAGTGAACACATTAAAATCAAACTGTCCAAGGACTGGAATCCTGCAACATAAAACTGCAAATATTTTTGGAGTAAGTATTATATTCTTGTCAATCAATTCCAGTCATATTCATCAAGCATATTTAACTATATGCATAGATCTTTGGAATATCAAAGATCTGGGAGGTTTACATGATTTTATGAAAATTGAATTATATTTGATGTTATTCTAGTATTTATCTGCCTTGACTTAAAACCACATGCTTCATTTAGTTAAAGAAAGTAAGGAGAGAAAAAGCAGAGAACAAAAAGGTTTCAATGAAAATGGCTCTATTTTAGGAGAAACCTGGTACATTTGTCTTTCCACTGCCAACACTCATCCATGCTCTATTTGGACATAAACCACCTTAAAAAAAAMCCCATAGATATACCTTTACAGCTTCTTTTCAGTCTGCCTGTAGAAACTGCCACATGTGCAGTGGAGAAAAAGTACCTAACCCAGTAATAACTTTCCCTTTCCAAGAGGAAATATTTGCTTCAGCRTACGCAAGGTTTGGAAATACAGAAAAGAGTTCCTAAAGGCTGAGCTGTGTTTGCTTTTCACAGACATCAGATAAGACCGTTCACACAAAATGAACCTATGGTTCAAAATAAAGTAGCAATACAAAAGTGTATGCTGAGATACAGAAACACAAACCTTGAGCAACAGGAGAAATCAGTCAAAAAAGCTGTGTTATCACACACACATTCACCTCCTTTCTTACATTCAAAGTGWTTGAAAGTTCCAGTCCAAAATGCACTGACAGAAGAAGTTGTTCAACTGCCTAAACTTCACATTTAACACACTCACTGCCCTTACAAAGTGCCTGTATGGATTTAATCTCACAGACAGCTCAGATGGATAAATATTATCACCCAGAAGCAATCAGCATTTTTATTTCTTTTCTTTCTGTATATACCAACAAATATCCTTTTCTSTTTTTCCAACTGAAGCAGCCAATTACCTGCTGTGCTTTGTAAGCTCCCATCCACATTCCCCAGGAAACGGATAACGGATAACGTGCAGCACAGCGAGGAGAGTTCACTCAGATGCAAAATAATTCTCAACTTACTCCAGTAAAATCTCTCCACTGCATTCACAGCTGAACTATGTGCTAACTGTATGTATTCACCACGGAAAGACTACACTTTACAGTTATAACCCTGGCAAATGCTGAGCATTTAAATAATTCTGCTTTTCCTTATCTGCACAAAGGGGTTTTATTCCTCTACCACAGCTGTACACAAAAGAATAGAGTGCCATTTCAAACCAAAACTCTCTGAAGTTCTACTTACCAGCTCGTGATTATATATTCAGTAAGCCCGAAGAGCTGAAAAGATTTTGTTGCAGGAGACAAAAGTTACAAAAAAACAGGCAAAGTTAACAAAAATGAAGGGAAACTAGCATAAATCCTCTCTTCATTCATCTACTTAAATGTTCCTGAAGACTAAAAAGACCTTAAAGAAAGTGCTCTCAGCAAAGACTACATCCTCTTGTCAGTCAAACCCTGCATAGTTTCAGCTAGGCATCCGTCCAAAAAGACATGGAATTATTCTATTTTTGTCTCCCAATGCAAGTGGAAACATTTTTACAGATTTGTGGTGAGGATTTCAATTTTTATAGTGGTCAGCTAGTAGAGGAATGTAATTAAAGACCCTGATTAATATAAGACRGTCCAGAAAGGAGGAATTGGATAAATCTGGAGATAGATAAAAATTCTATTACAAAACAGTCTGATATAAAAACACATTAAAAACTTCCAATGCAGTTAAAAATCCAGACGTGGTTTACTGGAAGAAAATGGTAAAAACTTTTCTTTTAAAACAGCATTGTTGTCAGTAGTGGGACACCAACAGTTTCAACAAACATTGGCTGATATTTTTTAATTAAATAATTTTAGTGAAAAAAATTTAATTATATTATGCAGAGCACTAAAAAATTGGTTTACCACCCATGTTATSTCTGGTATGTTACTGTTTTTACTCAACACAGGTGTTTCCTTAAAAGTACTTCACATGTTGCCTTTTGCTGCCTTGCARAATAAACCTTCTAAACTTCTAGCTTTGTAAAGTGGGAAAATATTTTGGAAATTATGTTTGGCTTCTCTTRCATTTGATTTTTGCTCTTGCTCTATCCATAAGAAAATATGGCCATTTCCTGTGTACATTCAGTCTGGAAGCTGACTCTGAARCACAACATTACTGATCCATGGAACTCTTCAGATCCAAGAGTCGTCACAAGGGAAGCTTTTAGTTCARTTCCCTAAAACTCTGTCATCATCAGTTCAAGATGGTTGAACTTTTGTCCCTGCTGACTCCTCCTCTCTGCTCCAACTTCCTCACCATTTTTCCTTTCCCAGTTACTTGCTGTTCTGTTCCCATCCACCCTCGGATGTGCTCCATGGCTGTCCTTTTCCATTATGCACTGATGTTTAGTCCTCTTTGCAGCTCTGAGTCCCTCTTYAGGTCCTGCTCACCAATTGGATGCCTCAATCTCAAGGCACCTCCAGCCACTGCTGYCTGCTGGGCTACCTTCCACACTGCTCGTAAATGTAGAAAACTACCTCCTGATTTAGTCCAAAATGTAAGCTGCTCCTGGCTATCACTATCCCTCAGGTCCAAGCCTTCATCTACAATCACTAGAAGACATAAGAGAGCTGTAAGTTGGAGGGACAAATAATATTTTAACAGAGAAAAGAAGCACTTGTTGTCCCTCCATTCCCTGGCCCTTTACTTACATGTTCATTTTTTTGCTTGGAATTTTTTATGTTCCATTACAGCRTAAATGTCCTTGAGGTAGAAATTTTCTCATGCTACGTTTTGAATTAGTCTCCAGAATAACAGGATCCAGTCTTTCCACACTGCAAAACAAACAAGAAATAATCTTTTTCTTTAACATTTTGCTACTTATTATCATCTTGCCCAAATCACAGCTCTTCTGAGATGCCAYTTTCAACTAACTGAAGAGATTTGTTTTAGTTTTAGGGATGAAAAAGGGAGATAAAATAATCTCTTTGTAGAAGGGTATGCATTGTAGATGGGTGCCCACACACTACCAGAAAAGACAACAGGCTATTAAAGCTTCAGCASGACAAGGAAGTTGCTTCCCTTTGAAACATCTCAATCACATCACTGTGCAGGTTTCTCTAACCAGGAACATGACATGCTATCACTCCATTCTTTTATTTTCACGTTTGCTGAGAGTGGGACAAGAAAAAGGGAAGGAGCAGAGAACAAGCTGGAGCACAGGGCTGCAGCAGAAGGGCAAAACTGCCAAGGAGCATTTCTGCTTGGATTACTTCTGGGAATGGAGGATAAGGACAAGGCAGGATTGTCTCTATTAAACTTGTCAGCCCTTTTCTTGCTGACATAGGAGCTGAATGTCTACATTTAATCCTTAGATACAAGATACACAAAAATCCTTCACTGGTGACAGGTAGGGAAGTATTTGCCTCAGGAAGTGCCACAAGGGTACCCAGGAGGCCATAAACATTCTTCAGTCTCCTTTTTACCTCAGACTTATGGATAAACAGCGTCACCCATTCCATGCCCTACAAGCCTGCCCATACCTGCTCTGCTGCCTGGTGATGGTTCTTCCTATTCCTGTTTCTCTTCTTCCAAGGTGCCATTTTAGTCCAGCCTCTAGTTCAATCCCTTGCCATCCTCTCCCATGGTAAAACCATGGCTGTTTTTACAGTTTGCTCCTTCCCAGGCAACCTTTCTCTCCAGCACCCCGTGAGTGTGCTGGTGCTTGCACCTACAGCAGCTCCACTTGCACCTCCTGGGCACAGGACAGTGCCTCCCAAACTAGGCCAGCATGGAGGGTCTGATTTTAGTTCTGCTTGCCTCAGCATGATGCCAGTCATCTAGAGCATGAATGGAGCTTTCAAGATGAGCAAAATAYTATAATTTAGGGAGTTTGTAATTCTCTAAAAGACCTATGTGTTATGTGCTCAGAGCAGCTCCTAAGTAATAAAAGACTTGTGGTGACATTACCTGGAAACCGAGGCTCTTAAACCTTATGTTCCTCCTGCCAGCAATTCTATGCCTTCTCTCTGCAGTGGGCAACCAGACACCTGGAACTAATGCCGATCATTGTTAAACTCCACCACCAGCACCTAATGCTGCATACAACCATTCTGATATCCAAAATACAGGAAAATCATCAAGGCCTTGTATTATTAATGTCTAATTAACATCACATTTCTTGCTGGCTGGCAATCAGCCACTATTACACCAGTATGACATTGACTTTTAAAATGGGCATGTTTTATGGCACTGATTGCTTAACTGTCTTGTTCTAAAATTGCCTGCTCTCCAAAATCCATCCATTTTAAAGAGTTCCTGAGAGGCAAAAAGCACTGGATTAAGATTACTGGTGCATTATTGGTCAGAGCGTTAATTTCCTTCCTGTGATACCAGGCTGCTTATCATTTTTGACAACACACTTAATTGCTGTTACAACCTCCACAGCTTTTTCATAGGTGCTGTCAAGATTATTTTAATTAAAATAATATCTATATAGAGGTTAATGAAAATTGGAGGGAAAAATACAGCAGGAATTTGTCATTTGCCACACTTCATTCACCAGGATTCACAGAGACCACGTGGGACAAGGAAAACACTCCTGCGTRGCTTCCACAGAGGTATGGTTTCATCTCACTTAGTTTGTCATGCATATCCAGAGCCCTTTCCACAGAGAAACCATCAAAATCCTTGTTACTCTCTTCAGATATGCCAGTGACCATAGGGTTTGCAAAATCTCCTTCATTAAGTCAAATGCTACTTTGATAACAGCATAGACATAGCCTGGTGTCTATGTCTAATTTTCAATACTTTTTCAAAGATAAGAAAATTTGGTATCAAGAAAAGCATTTCTTCTTATACATTTCAAAACCAAATAAATTATGGGAATTCCCTCCACATGTTGGAATCCAATGCTTCCAACAACAAATGCACTGAGCACATAATACATTTGTAGTCTACTCACTTTTTTTTAAAGCAGACTAATCTCCCCTTTAAATAAACCCCACATAAAATTAGAAGAATATCTATTTCTCTTTTTTTTCAGTTAGCAACCCTCACTTAGTGTTAAACTGTACCTCTGCAAACTGCYACTCTAACAAATTACAAGTTTTCAGTCAAACCAGCACACAGCCCACAGACTTTGGAYGCTGTTTCAGGGGTTTCTTGAAGTAACACTCGTGAGTGTAGAGCTCACTCACTCCTCTGTTTTAAATACAATTTATCAGCCACTTGTGTATCTTTTTGTGTAAGTGACAGCAGGCACATCAGTCATCTTCTGCAATCCAAAGCAATGCCTTTGGAGGTGGCTGACCATAACTTCAGGCTCCTCTTCTTACTTAGTTTGGTCTGTGGTCTCCTTTTCTGTCCCATGATCAAATCACTAATACCAGTTGCTTTTTATCTGGAAAAAGGGTCACCTCCCCAGCTGACACCTCTTCCCACTGAGAGGAACTGTAAATCCAMACCTCTCTACAGGCAGCAGAAGTAGCAGAGGTTGTTTTCCCACAGATTTCCATGCTGTTTACTAAGCTTTCTGTTCTTAGTCCCTTGCCATGTGCCATATTACACCCATTATGGCTCCCCTGTTTTCTTCTAATAGGCCCCTCAAGCTCATTTCCAGATGACAGGCAGTTCCTGGAAAAAAAAAAATAAAAAAAAGAGAGTGCAGCCAGTTCCTCACTTTTCCTTTAGGAAACAGATTTTTGTGCGACTTGTAGAAACTTAGTACCTGTGACAGGTTGGAGTCTTTCAGACTTTCCTAGTTCCACAGCTGTCAGATGTGTCCCACAGCTGTCAAATGTGTCAGTCCTCACAAGTGACAGTCGCAGTTTGAGGATACTGAGTATGGCTGATGAAAACTCGTACTCCATTCTGGAAAGCAGAACTCTGAATGCTGCAGTGTAACACAGCACAGCTGCTGGAAACTTCTTATGGATTTACTATTGTGTTACGTACTGCTCATGCAAAAAAAAACATACACTTGTTAAAAAAACTATGCATCAGTACCAAAAAAACCCTGGGAAACAAACTGGAAGGAATCCCTTATGAGGTCAACATTGCTGCTTTTCATCAAGGAGAGGCAGAAAACYGAGGGTCTACTGCAAATAAGGAAAAATCTGTCTGCACAAGCATTTTTAGAGAGATTTTCTTGGCCAAATAACTGCCTCACACTGCATCTGAACACATAATAGTTACCCCGTCCTGCCTGCATGCATGTGTTGTTCTGCTAAAGGGACCTTCTTTTAATAYAAAGTTGCCAAACATAAATCAGCCTTGAAGAGGAATAATTAGAGTAAGTTAGAAGATTAAAACCATGGGAACAAACTGAAATATACAACAGCTTCTCTGTAGCTGTGATTGTCTGAGGGGGAGGCAGAGGATTCTTGTTCTCACTCACAGTCCATCGGGGCATTTTCTGCTAAAGGGKCAGCATTGTCACTCTCTCTGAGATTTCCTCATGCCTTTTTTGTGACTATGATGATGCCTCAAAGCCTTTTCTATTAGCCTTTCCCATTATAAACCTTCTTTAGCTCATAACAGTTCATATGCTTTCAGCTGTAAGGATAAAGGAGCTCTTCACTCCTCACACACTGCAGTGATTCTGATTACTGGGAGGATATTTGAAATATAATATTGTGAGGAGAGGTGTAATTATGTCTGTATTTGAATGGARCTATTCTAAGGGGCTTTGCAAAAGCAGACTGTCATAGCTGCTATAGGCCCCTGGGGTCAAGCAGTTCCTCAGGAAACAATCAGGACCTGAAAATGGTCTGGTTGTTTTTTGGATGCTTGGCAAATTCCACCACCTTCTCAGGAAACTGGTATTAATTATTCTCATTGTAAGTGCTCAAACTGTWCAGTGAACCCTAGCATTGATAMCAGCGCTCCTTAACACTCCCAATGGTACCACCACCATTATTTTCTTTTCCTKGCTAYTGGATGCAGTTGCATCCTGCATCRYTAGTTTTGTGTATTTTAATTCTTTYATCATCATYATTATTGTTRTTATTTTCCCTTCCATTCTCTCATAYTGAACTCTGCATATCTCAATTTTACTCTTTTTGCCCAATTGTCTCCTCCATCCCAYTGGAGGCGGGGRGAGAGACCATGAGTGGCTGTGTGGTGTTTATTTGCCTGCTGGGTCAAACCACAACAATCCAATGCAGATTAAACAGCRTCCCAGATTCTTGAGATTAGGGCACATTTCTTCCTTCACATACCATTTAGCCAAAACTGGCCTTCCAAAAACTTGAAAGGGGGAGAAGGAAAATAATCTTCCCTCTTTGAATTCAAGGTKTGGATTTCAGCCCTTCCTGGTTTATCTTCTCTCATTTTACTTTGTATATATTCTCACTTTTATGTGCTCTTAGTGCCTACAGCAAGGTCCCCACGCAATCTCCACTGAAGTTCTTAATCACCTGACTAGAAAACATGAATTTCCTTTCTCCTTTTCTGCCTCCTTCATGGATTTATTCCAGCAACTCAATAATGTAAAATGTGTTGTACAAGCCATAGAAAAAGTCAGAGGAAGCCCATCTTTTCATTTCCCAGACAGCCTGACCTAGGCCAAGAGCTCTGTGAAGAAGTCCAGGTTTTCACAAGCTCTTTCTACCCACACAAGCTGTGACCCAAAACAAAAAGCTTAAACATAGTTTTGCCAAGATAGTCCAAAGTTAGTTTTTCTGAAAAACCTTCCATCAAAATTTTGTCTTTTTTATGACTCCAGCRCCAGCCAGACTCCATCACCCTAGTGAGACCTGCTCAGTGCAGAGCTAGTTTAGAAACCTGGCCTGAGGAGTGGGCAACCAGTTTTTCACAGAATCTTTTTACAGATATGCTACAAGTCAACACATGTTTCAAGGGAGGAACAGATCCAAATTTRGGCTTAAAGCATCAAGGTCCCTTGGGAGTGCAGGCTGCAGTCAACATCAGTCAAGCACAGGCTGAGAGGAGGGACAGCAATCCCAAGGACCATTCCCACGGGATTTCCATGAGCTCAAATTACAGTCTCTCAGGCACCCAAACCAGGCCAGGGAAACACTACAGAAATCACAATCTCTGCAAAGGCCAGCTTCAAAGCAGCAATTGAGCAGTAACCACATGCAATCATGCAAGAATGCCAAAGCCACTGGAGTCCTTCCACAAAAAATGGGTACTCTCCATGTTCTAATGCTGTCCTCCATCACAAGACWAAATCAAGGCTTTGCCTTCCAGAAAAAACAAGCTGAATGGCTGGGTGGCTCATGTGCAGAAACATCTGGACTAGATAGGGAATAACATACAGAAAACAGCCAGCGAGAGTGTCAAAAGTTCAGAGAAGCAGGAACTGAACATCATCCTATTCCAGTCCCATAGGGGAATATATCATAAAAAAATCAAGTCAAAAATTGCAAGCCCATTGTGCAGGAAAAATCAAGAGTACATAACTTTTTAAAATGAATGCTTTCCTATTGCTTTCCCTTCTCTTTATAAATTATGATGTCTTACAAGTGAAACTCAGAGATTAAAGTATCAAACCCAGTAGATAACCCCAGTCACTAGGCAGGAAACAGGAGGCCTCTGACAGTGGCAGCACATAAATATGTACAATTTCAGAGAAACAATGCTAGAACTTTTCCATACCTCTATTTAGCATCTCACCAAATGGAGTTGTCAAAAGTAGAATGCACATCTGCTATAGGAAATGCAAAGACAGCAGTCTTACACTGCATGAAGTTGATAATATTGTATTAAATTTAATTCTGYACTGTTAGGACAAGCCATGTGGGACAATCTCCCACAAATTACTGTCAGGGAAAAAGATGCCTTTAAGTAGGGTCACTTTCTCCAAGAGACATATGCTTTGATATCCAGTAGCAAAACAAATAACTTTTTGGATCCTTATGATGAAATATTAGATTSATTTGTTACATTTTATTCTAGGATTACAAGACATCCTAGTAAGTTTTACTTCCCCTTTAACGAGCAAGAAAAACATTGTAATAAATTGTAAATTGTGTTTTTGAAAACATTACAGGATGAAAAAAAAAATTCTGTGACACTTGATGATGAAGTAACGTCTATATGTTGTTGTCAGTAAATTTCAACTACTATGACAGATCTTAGCAGTAAACTCCATCAGAAGCAAGCCAGACATCTGGAATGGGACATCAGCTGAGTTAAATTAATCTGTTTATAACTATATATTAAGATTTTATAATAATATAATGTTAAAATGGCATTATGTTAGAGGCAAAGTCACATGGGGAAAATTTTAGTGCACCAGTCTTTCCTTGGCTCRTTATTGCCCAGTTCAAAATTCTGCCCTGACTTCTATCTCATACCCTTTTTTTCATGTACAATGTTCTGCCTCATTGAGCAGACAATAAAGATGGCACCCAATGAACATCCTTTTATAACTCCTCAGCCCTCATGACACTGTGTGTTTCTCAAACCCTGTGCTATTACCCTCTATTTTGCTCTTGGATTTTCTCATAGCACCTGTCATCACCACCAYGTTCAAGCTCAGCACAAATCTGAAATGACAGCAAGATTCTCCTCGACAATGCTTTTCTGCCATGAGTGGATACCAGCAACCAGATTATCATMAGCTAATTTTGCATGTTTTACGGCTTCCACCAAAGTTTATAGTGGGGTTTTGGAAAACTAATCTGCTTTTGGCAAGGTGGGAGGTTTGGATTCCAAATTCATTCTACAAAGGGGTTCCTTCCYTCCCCCCATCCACAGTGTAATCTTTTCTCCAGAGGTGTAGAGTGAAACGCTGCTTCACTTACCATCACTTTTAGCAGGATTCAGCAGAAGCTCCCTCTCAGCACYATCCAAAACTGAACCTCCAGATATTTTTTATTTGGAAGACCAGTTCAGTTTTACAGACACAGTTGGCCTCACCATCATAATTTTCTCCACTCCAGCTTCTCTGCCCTGATGGACACCCTCCTTTAAACTTCCCTCYCAGTACATTAACACATCCCTAGTCATTCTTAAACTGTGACAGCAGTGGGAGTAGTGTCCCTTGAGATACCTAATTTGAGATGAGGCTGTGCTGTTCCTCAGCTTCCAAAGGCCAGCTGGGAAAATGCTTMATGGGCTAATATACTGTTTGTTTGGACACTGGCTGATGTATTCTATGTTCTTGTAGCTGTATGTGACATTTACTATGAGGCATCATCAGATTTGAGGCAACAATCCTGAAGATGTGCTCCTCTTTGAAGATGTGCTTCTCTTTCAAAATGTATAGAAGTCCATTGCTTTGCAGTAAAGTACTCAAACATGCTTTCAATTTTGTGTCCATGGTACTAGAGCATGCACTTAAGTGGGGATTTTTGGGATTAGACTAACTATTCCAAGATGAGTAATAAATTCCAAGATGAGTTTGGTTGACAGCTACCAAATATGGTTGTTCCAGTCCATTTATGCAAAGGCAYGTATTTGGCAGATGCTTACCTGAGAGAACAGGTCAGGTGCACAGCATAGGCAGGGCTGTGCCTGGCACTGCTCTCGGCTTCAGGGCTGTTTACTGTGAAAACCCTCTCTGCATCATTCAGAACCCACTGAATAATTCAGCAGAGTTTCATTACTCAACCAGTCCTGTTTTGTTTACTGGAATATCATCCAGTGGTTCAGCACCCATCTGGCTGTAGTCATAAAGTCTGTGGAAAATGTAGCAATTCCCAAAGGCTGGAGGGAATTTTTTGTGTGATGCTAAAGTCCTACAAACTCACAGAATCTCTGATTTTCTGTTTAAAAGAGAAAGTCAACTGCTCTGAGAAACTCAGGATGAATTAATCCRTACACACACCTTGTATCCTTTGCAGATTGGCAAACTTCTCTYACTGACTTACCTGGAACTGAAAACAAAACACACTGGGAT